TTAACAATCCTTCAAATCGTAATCCCCAAAAGGCCGGTAACGCACTTGTAACGCCTCTGGTGTTCCCGGTGTCCATGGACGGCGCCGTTTGCTTACCATCAGGTGATCAGTCTTCTTGTTTGCCACCAATGTTTAAAGAAACGATAGATAACTTGGTTGTGTGTAGAATGTGAAAGAGAAAAAAGTTTGTGATAGGAAATTTAACTCGTCGAGTACCGGTTTTATAGACACAATTAAAGAACAATAGGTCGCGGTCACCGGTGACCGCTTGGTGTTTGACAGTTTAATACTTAAAAGTACTAATAACTACCTAATTACTGGTTAGTAAAATTATTGAGTAATCTGTATGTATCCAATGTTTAATTATTTAGTACTTAGTGCTATCGACAAACATTTGCTCACAAACCCTAATTACGCAAGTTCTTTCCATGTTTTCCTACGAACTGTTTGCAAAAAGGACTTCATTTTAGTTTCTGTTAAGTGGGTATATAATAGATAATGGCTTCCATATAAGAGATATTGAAATTGCTATCTGATTTTGAAACTGTGTGCAACTTATTATGCACATATATCTATCTATACAATAGCCTTACAATTTGTTCTTGTCTGCCCACGCAAAGTAAAACATAACATTTTACTACTAAAACTTGGCTAGCAAACAAAATCTATAAAATTAACGAAATCACGTAAATCGGATAAGCGGTAAGAGGTAAAACAAAGTGGACTAACTTTATCTAACAAATGTTTTATTGTTTGGTAAGATAACAACTGAATTTTACTCGAAATATGTACTGAGATTATTCAGTTATTTCAAAAACAACAGATTAGGGGCATGTCACAATGTGCACTTCACCTTTATCTCGATTCAAATTTAATCTAGTTCAAGCATAAATGTTTAAATATTGTGTGATATTTGTGTGAAAATACTAAGTAACTAACTAGATTTATTTACTCAAGGATATTAGCTTTTATGCATATCCCGTAAATACCTTACAATCTATTTATTAACTGTAAGGATCTATTTCTATTGGGTCCACAAAGACAATCAAAGCTCTACGTTCTACAGTTAGAGCTCCCAAGTTTATGTGTTCAATGAAATACTATGTGAATGCGCTTTCCTATCTATCAACCAGATGTAGGCAATTTTGAACCGATTCCAAGAAACCTATAATGAACTGTTGTAACTTTGACAGCCGGATCTTGATGTAGAATTTGTACAATGTAATCAATAAATTCCAAGTAGGCATTTAACCTTTTGAGTACCTACCGTCATTATAGACACAGTTAAAGAACAATAGGTTGCGGTCACCGGTGTCCTCGCGGTGTTTGACAGTTTAATTATACAAAATAGCTGCATCCACGCGGTTTCACCCGCTCTGCTTCGCGCTTATTGATCATAGCATGATGATTTAAAGACCATAAAAAAAATTCAAATCGGTCCAGTAGTTCCTGAGTTCAGCGCGTCTAAACAAATAAACTCTTCAGCTTCATATACATAATAACAGTATAAGATATAAAATTACATAACATAACATCACGCCTTTTATCCCCGAAGGGGTAGGCAGAGGTGCACATAGAAGTAACACCCACTTTTCACTATTTATGCTATGAGTATAAGATATAAAATTACTTTATTGAGATTCGACATCTAAAGCAAAGACTTTGCGCATGCTCAATTCCAACGTTAATTTGTTAATGATATGACTTTTAAGTCTTCATAATAAGTAGAATTTACTAAGAGACTCAAAATATCTAAATAAAACATTAACTGGTTATTAAGAATGTAAATCTGATAATCAAATTTTATTCAAAAACCTTCACAGCAAATTACGGCTTGTAAGCTTTTTGCGGTTAATCAATTAGTAAAATCTAATTCTTGCTTAATTTAATTATGTATTTAAAGGCTTTAGCGGTTTGACTTGCTGAATTCTCGCTTTCTGCTCCCAAGAATGCGGTTAGGATCGGCTGAATGCCATCTGTGTCGAATGTCGATTCTTGGAATTTATGCTTAGAGATATAATTCAAGTAATATAGAGCTGTTTCGTCTCTTAACCTTAAGGACTGAGTTATTTAATATGTTTTCTCATCTGGGGAAACGTCTAGAAGTTCTTAAATTAGTAACAGGTCAGGTTAGATCTTACATGTTTGATGCTTAATATTGAACTTAATCTCATCAATAGGGTAGATGACTAATTTTTATTTTAATGTCTGTCTGGTAGATTATTTAATATCGTTGGACACGTATTTTTTATTTTCTTGAACACAGATACTTTCGACGATATATTGATTTGAAATGTCGCGTGACATCACTTTTGTGTTTGTTTTATACTCGAAAGTGACGTAGTTAGCTTTTTAACTTTGATTCGTTTTATTTACTTAAGTATTGTTTTCTTATACAACAAAATAAAAAAAAATACGTAAATTAACAGTCCAAAAGTCGCCACTGCTGACCAAAGACCTTCTCACACGGAGTAGGTTTGAGCATTAATCACCATACTTGCTCCATGCGGGTTGCCGATTTAAACTTATAATTAGAAATTTTAAGCCCAGGTTTCCCCACGATGCTTTCCTTCACCGTTTGTCAGTGGTGTCTAAATACTCTTAGAAACTACATTTAACTCGGAAAAAGTCACATTAATACTTGCGGTTGGTAGGTTTCAAACCCGTATACTTGTGCATGAGAAGCGAACGTCTTAAACCTCCGGGCCACCAAATTTTAAATGTTATGTCCTTTAGCAAATAATCCCTAAGCTTACTGATACAAAAATACTCGGCACTAAAGGCTAAACCCCCAAAGCCAGTTTCATGATATCATTAGGAAGAGTTATGGGCAATTTTACTTGGTTTTTAGGTGGTATCGTACTTTAGTTGAGACGTGAAGTGAATAAGTGTTTGGTACTCTTAATTCTATGTTAAGCATAAAATTAAAGAGTCCACCATACCAATATGAGGATCTATTTTAAGGAGTATAAAGTTAATAGAATGGTAAGTTTCGTAACTGTGTATAGAATATGTACCTTGTTACATAAGTAGGTAAATTGTTATTGACAAATTATGTTTAGATTAGTTACTAATAATAGCTGTCTTTAGCTGTCTTTAGGCTAAATCCATTCTGTCTCCTGCAGTAATTACACGGAGGGAAGCGGAAACTATCGTTTTTTTTCTTCTCCTCTTATAATATCTTCTGATTTATTTCATTCATGTACATGGGATGCCCCGGACCTCAGTGTTCCGATGTTTTCATGATTGTATTTACTGTAGATTCTGGCTCACAGGATAGGCAGCGGTTTCGTGAGGCTGTGTCGGGTTTGGCCCAAAAAAAAAAAGTAATAACAGCTGTTCACGATAATTACTAAAACGAAAAACTTAATGTACCTATATAAATCGTAACCTATATCAAGACAAATGATAATAAACATCAAACAACCAAAGAAACTATATCAAAAACAAAAGATAAATTAACTTTCACTCTAATCTGTAAACAAAAAATCGAAATTGAACTTGAAACAACCTTGACCTCGCAAGTTTAAACTTCAAATAATCTAGAAAACTAAAACATAAATAATTATCTAAATCTAGATTTAATGAGGTACTACACTAATTAGGAGATCCTACGTCTACTTTAACGAAGATAAAATAGCTAAATAATCTTATCAAATAACTATCTATGATAGGTTAATAAAGCTCGCTGCGTGATCCGCCAATGAAATTAATCAGTTTTGATGAACCATTTTGTCAGAATTCTTGGGAATTCTGTATAGGATTAATGACACATAATTGAGTTGAATTGACAGTGTTGTGATGATATATTTCAATATTTATAGTCTACCTATTTATCGGTGTTAAAGTTGTTATTTCTTAATTAGGAGTTCTGCTTATATTGTAAGACTGATTTTTGTTAGAAACACAAACATTTAAAAATACTTAGCTCGATTGGTATGTAAAACTTTCTTTAACAACTGGGACTTAAGAAAGAACTCGATCAACCAAACCGAGTAGCACATTAATCGGAGAATACCAACCGCGATTTTTTGTTATCTATCTTCTCAAACAAATACAGACTACTTTGCTAAGTAAATATAAGAATTAAGAACTTTAATACTGAATAGTTACTCTGTTTTCAGTGCGATTTAATACTATTAAGATAACGAAAACTTACTCAAAATAACTATATGAGAATAGTTCAATATGTGTGGAAATACGGGAGAGTGTACGTAAGTCGCAATGCAGTCCAATATGTGCAAGGGACTCGCATTTGCATACTGAGACAATCTCATGTAGAGGATCTTGAAGATTGGAACCCGTGGCCCTGCTCTGTATATTTTGAGATCTCCACGGTTATGCATTACGTATGTGAAAACTCTTCAGATTTAATCAACCAAGTCAATACAACTTTAAGATTTTTAATGCTAATCTTAGTTCTATAGTTACCGAAGGCTTTTGATTGATTCGGTATAATGAGCCCTATAAACATACTATTAACCACTATGGTGATTTTCCGACAGTTACCTGTATTTTTATTTAGCTTAGTTCCTCTATCACGCATTGAAAGTAATGCGTCCTTCAGATATAAATGAAACTGATATTTTCGGGATTTGATTCGAAAAATCCTCTAACAACTACAATAATTGTGTTTGTTGGTAATCCAAGTTTTATAACTGTATTTACTGGTGCAGAAATAACGATTCTAGCTAAGTACTAAAACCTTACTCAAGGATTCGTGTTGAGTAAGATTCTAGGAATCGATTATCTGTTTACTAAAAGATCAGTTAAAACTTTTATAAACCTTATATTTCGTGCTACGAGTGTTCGAAAACGCTAAGATATATATATATAGATAGGAGATTTCAATAGAGAGGGGTTTTCAGTGTCTCTCTGGTCATACCTATTCAAGGGCAAAATATTACTGGGTTTTTTTAAGAAATGGTTTTGGTTAATATTTGCCCCTTGATGTACTTCTGATTACTATATTTTAATTGTTTTTTTTGTTTTGTTTTTAGCGTACGAATGGTCCGGAGTGTACGGCTCCGTGCCGGCGCGCGCAGCCTTCCCCGCGAACCACCAGCACACCCAAGCGAACTCCTGCGCAGCCAACTGCCAACAATGATGCTGCCGGTAAGTCATTATTATAAGTTATCTTATATATTGATTAAATTAATGGTCTGGTCGAATAGGAAGCTGTGATGCAAGCCTGTTAATAAGTTTTATGTCATTATCGTGAATTCGTGATCAATTACAAATAATAATGTTAATGTAATGATGACTATGTTTGTCACGCGGCCACAAACGTAAATAAAGTTCTGCGAAAACGTTTAAACGTGAAAGTTTACGTTACCACGGCCAAATATCAAAACCATTAACTTTCGAATGATGTGACTGCTCTAAAAACGTGCAAAACAAAACACATTACATTTTATATTGTGAAATACACGGCGATTAGCAGTTAACGCGTGGACGCATTAACAAAACAGAATCCACGCGCGTTCATTGTCACCATTTGTTTCACAGTTAATTTGGTTTCGTTTCGAATGGTACTCTTGACGCTGCACGCCGTAAAGGATTTCGTAAATTATCACAGAGTTTAAAATTCTTTCGTGACAAATCGGTGCCGTGGCGGCTTTTAGCGCTCACCTTTTTTAACACCGTTTTCAGGCCAAATCATTAAACCTTTCGTTTGTTTTAATACTCTTCCCCTGACCTTTGGCCGACTGTTTGGGTCATTGTGGAATCTTAATCAGATTTGGTTAAATATCTAGTATGCAGAATAATTGCTGTTTGTTATTGTCCAATGGATTTGTGTGTTTTATGGAGATGAAACACCATCATCTTATTTCATGAACTAGATTAACTAAGACAGTAAACGTTGTTGTGTTCATTCTAGATGTAATAACAAAATCTTCGTATCTTTAACTATCTGGTATGACGACATACGGTGTATGATTGATACTTACAGAGCCTTTCATTTCCAATAACTGGATTTTGATGCGTCTAAAACGCAGTTAGCGAGGGTGGGTTCCCTCGTTAGATTAACAGATAATCCTAATTACAATATCGATGTTAAGGATAGAAGATCGTAATGGAATTTGTAAACCAATTTAAAATTGATCTTATTTTCTACAAGCCAGGTGTTTCATTCACGTCTTTCAGCGGGTACATTGCCATGACATTACAGTAACAATACATTTCAACCTGTCAAAGATACGCCCTCAGTCTATTTCTGCTTACTACCGTCCGACCGTGACCGCAGTCACGTTGACATGCCAATACCCGACACATGTAGGGTTGAAAGCTCCCAACATACCCCCAGGCCCCTTTTAGGCCTGTCCAATGTCCATGTTATGTTCAACGCACGTCCCTATTTCCCGATTGAAAAATAAATCGGTTCTATTTGCAAATTTTTCGAATTACGTTCACAGAATTTAAAGTAGGCGTATGAAATGGATTGCTTAAACTTTCAGATATTTAACAAAAGGTTAAGATTTTCTTCATTTTGTTCCATTTGTTAAATATCTTTAAACGTTTTATTCATGTTTGTCTATCTATAAGCTTGCTCTGTTATTATCCGTTTAGTCTCAAAGTCATGCTATGGTTGTCTATTTACATAAATATGTTGACTTTTACGTTCCCCAGATGTTCATCGATGTCTAGATAGGGCAGCCCTATTGTTACCGTGATTATTGGCACGAGTTACCTTACCTTGTACTCTTTGCATTTGAATTCGAACCTTATAGAGAGGTAATCTCTTCAATTACGTTTGCTTCCATTCTATATTGCTTTTGTAATGGAAAGTATTCGTTTGTTTTCACTTTCAGCGATTTAACATAACAACATAGCGTTTTAGCTTTTAGGAATGTTTTGTTCCGTAATATGTTCGTGCATTAATTGATTAGGTACGTGTAATAGGATTTAAATTAGTACGTTGCTGTTGATACTTACAAGTTAAACAGTTAACTGCCCTATGAACATTACTATTGTAAACAAATTATCTGTATGTCAATATAATCGATCATCGAAGATCTCATTGTATATCAACTTAGCGATATCAATGGTTCTCGGAAAATATATCACATGTCGTGTGCCACTGTGAATCGAAACAGATTAATTGGATAGAAAATAAAACTGCGTGTCTATCAATTTCGCTTCGTTTAACGTATCAATTAGAGCCATCGAATGCTGAGTTGAAGCACGGTTCTTTAGCGGTTTTTTACCCTGAAGTGAAAGGGAAACTCATGTTAAATAATATACGACTTATGGACTTATCGAATTGGTTTCCAGATAGCAACATACAAAATAAGACTGTCTCAAAGAATTCCGTGTTCGTGTCTATATATTATCCATCGAAGAAGTTCGTGTAGTCAATTTATTATTCAAATGAGTTCAATTTATAGGCCACTGGTAGAGCTAGCGAGTTGACATGCAGGCTGGCTTCAAGACTGGAGCCGTACGTGTAGCCCACCTTACCATGAATTATTTAGGAGCAGTGGGGCAGGAATATTATGATCGTGGGTTCTAGCCAGCTATGTAGAACAAGGTTGTTTGTCTTTAAAGTACAATAGCTTCTAGTTTGTGCATTAGTTTGCAACGAGAACTTAAGTCGAGATCGCTAAGTACGTTCCAGTGGAGTAAGTAATGTTTCATTAAGGAAACAGCGTCCCACCAGTCCTCCGCTTAGTACTATCCATCGATCTATGTCCCCCGTGTGAATAAATGGGATAAATAAACCTATCTGCTAGATAGAACCCGTATCTTCCTAATATAGCGCGCAAATCTACATATCGCCTTGACACGGAACTTTGAAAGCGAATGTCTGAGTGATCTATTTATTCCCATGACGATGTATGACAAGAATTTGAATAATATTTTACGTTATTCTCAAACGCCAAATGGACGGAAGCCTTTTTAGAAAAAACCACAAGTAATTTAAATGATTAGCTAAACTAAAAGAAAAAGTCATGAAACAGCGATAGGTAACTTGGGATCAAAGTGTAATTGGATATAAAGAATTGTAAAGAGAGAAGTATAGAAGTTTGTAGATTGGGTACATATATTTTTGCCATAAAATACGTCCGCAGTGTCCTTTTACGGCTGTAATTTAATAGCAGTCGAGCATAACGTGGTCTGAATGGATACAGGTATCACGATATTACATGTTATCTTCGATTATATTGAAAGTTAGTCTTTGAAAACCCCAAGTACCTACAAAATATAAATAAAATATCAATTAGGTACTTTTTACAGCTTCAAATAGTATCATTATTCAGTTGAAAGAGAAAGTAATCAACCGATGATACATAAAATGGTAATGTATTTTACATATTTTAAACTCGATTTACTGTAGGGGTGTCGCAAAATGAATGCACGTGAGCCCGAGGGTCGAGCTGGTCAGGCGTTAAACTAGGCCAAGGGCGGCGGGACTTTACCTGTCTAGTCCTTCAAAATAGAATGCATACAGAACAAAATTGCGAACGACATTCACCACTAGGGTAGTGTTCATGTCGCTTTGTTTGTTCGAAGGTCAAGTCTTAAACAAAGGATAAATTAGTTCAATAAAAATAGTGTTTGATGATCCAATTTCGAGATGAAAACAAGGGTTTATTGGCATTAGGATCTGCTTTTGTTTTGATGTGTGCTTAATTGTCAATTAATAGATGAAACTGTATATGAAAGAAGTAAACATTCTTCGTAGCATAATAAATATTATGTCATAGTTTCCTGATGATGAATCCTAAGAGATATAAAAACTGATGACATGTGTATTTCGATTTATGTAGCTAATGGAAATTGTATCCCCAATGACTATCTAATTTATAAATAACCGGGTTAAGGTTATACAATATTCGTCCTTCTGTCGAGTGCATATAACACAGAATAATCATAAACAGCAAGGATAATGGTGGCTTATGATGAAACCATTAACTTTCATGAATCTAGAGTTGTTTTAATGTAAAAGTTAAGTTACTGGCTGTTCTAAACCCAAGGACTCAAGCACAAGTCTCATTTTTATTTAAAAAAAAATACTGAGATACATTCTTGTGTCAGGAATTACTGATTGAAAACGAAACAGTAGGTACCTATGTGGTAAGATCCTGGAATTGATACAGATTTGATTTATTATTTATTTATGTATTGATATCGTTTCGGAAGGCGTACACAGCTTTAATGAATTAAACATCGGCTTACGTCTGATTCGAAATTAATTTATCCATGGCTTCGTTACTATTCTGAACACGTTGGATCCTTTACAACGTTTTCTGGTTTCGACCCTCCTTTTATCCAGTTCATCCAACTTGGGGCGTGGGTGGATAGGTTGTTGTTCCATAGGCCCGCAACTGTTTATCAGCACCTACGCCCTGGCATTTCCTATCCAGCCTTAGGTTTGACTAAAACAAATGGTGGTTTGAGCTCGGTTTGGAAAGGGTTGTGAATGGTGCTAAGGTGTTTTAAATATTAATCGTTTCGTAGTATTTCGGTGTTGTTCACGTTTCATAGAATTTACCCGACTGTTTTGAAGTTATTATTACTACTACGATTAATTGGTTAGTTTTTACTTGAATGTGTAGGAGACAGACATTAAATTATTTATTACTTCTAATTGAAGGAAGATTTGGCACGTAAACAGTGTTTTGTGATGAATAAATAAACGCCCTAGTAAATATTGTAGTCTACGTTTGTATCCATAAAGGAATGATATCTAATCAAGTGTTTATAGACAAAAAATACCTAACTCATTACAACGAATATAGACATGGTGAAAAATATTCCACGGGAATATTCTGGTACATAATGTCGTAAGTACGTAAGTAGCGTGTCTGCCAACAGTAAGCGATGTTTAGTGAATGCTTACACGTAATAATTCAGTGTTTAGTCCCCTTGAAATATTCACATCGCAAGTTTTTGCCACAAATACAAATAGATGAGGGGTTTTTGAAGAAAAAGTGACGCGTAATAATTCAAAATACGTTATTGATAAACAGATGCCTATGATAAATTTATGGGCACGTTTATGAGTCGTTTCTGTGTCGCATTAAAATGTTTAACGTTCACCATCATTTTTATATAACTTTCATATATTTGTATGTTGTATGTACATCATATTTTTTTTATAAGTTGTCACGTTACTCGTTTTCGTATAAGTGTTGTCTGTTATAGAAAATGACTGATTGCTATGTAATAGAAACTCTTTTAAAGAGAACAGCATCGGATTGTGGAATTTTTGTGCAATGCAATGTTCACGTTGCCCGCACTAGGATTTTCTCCTGTCTCGTGGGTGCGTTTACAAACGTCTAAGTTTAAATACACATGACCCCCCAGACCCGGAACAACAATCTGTGGGTCATACAAAGAGATTTTCCATGCGGAAAGTGAACCTGCAACACGTTACGCAGCAGCCAGTTACACAGCCACCGCGCAGTCAATTCTTTCGAACATAGGTTAACTTCATGGAAAAATTTGTAATATTAACTTACACATGGCTAAAACAGTTTAAATATGTGTAGTTGAGTACTTATTTCATAGTTCTAATTTATCTACGTTATTCTATTACTATGATTAAACACTAAACGTGGCTAGTGACCTTTACGTGACTTGGTTTAATGAGTCATTTATACTTAACTCATTTTACTCCTTTCGAGTTTATAAAAAGTAATCCCGATAAGATAGGAAACGCTTACACCTGTTTTTTTTTCTATCTTAGAAGAAAACAATTAGGATTATGTTTCAGTACTTTTTTGTGTTAGTTCAGAAATGAAAATTTGTAAAAAATGGTGTTACCAAAAAGTTTTTAGTCAATGTGACCTTCCCTATCAATCATGACAAAATTCAGCCTAAAGAAGCAACGAAATACATTTTCGAAAACACACGCCATTTGCTCATTACGGGAACAAATTAAAAAGTTATTTTACCTCGGAATTAAGTTTATATCAGCTATTTATCCTCGTTGTTCCCATCTGAACGTCGCAAAAGACATAAACATGGTTACTCCCGCCCATATAAATTTATTGCACATTTCGCTCCTATATGTCTATCGAAACTCCCCATTTTAATACTTAAAGACTACCTCCTCTAGGGATTCTTTGCTATTACTAAACTATCTAGCTTCAGTACCCATGTTAACAATAAGTCCTCCCCGTAGATAATACAATATTAAACCTCTTATATCTTGCCTCCTAGGTATTAACTTAAGTACTATACCAAAGTCTAACACTAGTATGGTAGTTTGTAAGTTTCAAGTCTTAAAAGTTTTAGTATGGAAAATTCAACCTTGTTTACTAAGGAAGAAAAGTTATTGTAACGTAATAGATTATTTGCGACGTAACTTTTTGTCGACATAAAATACTTTTGACACATATAGAGAGTTGATGTCACTCGTAAAAAGCTGTCTTCATACAAAAATAATCGCGTCAATTTCTTGTTCCCGGAACGAAGGACGAATAGTTCACTAATTTTTTATTTATGTTTTAGTTATCTATTCACGAAAATGCTATACCTAATATGTATTCGTAAAGATCAATTTCGACTGACGGATATTGCATTATGTCCATCGGATAACGAACTGGATCGTCAGTTCAGTCAATGGATTCTGACTGAAAGTTTACGCTTCAGTGCCCAAACCGATTTCCTGCTAGCTTGTGTGTATGTATGTAAGTAAACAGTTTAATTTGCTAGACCTTTTTGCTAAACTTTCTATACATATGATATAATATATTAGCCACAGTAATTTTCCAACTGGTTGATGAATGTGTGGCCTGATTCTAAATTTGTAGTAATCGTGTGACAAGGGGGCGAGTTGTCGTGCGACGTGGAGGGCAAAGGGGGAGGCCTTTGTCCAGCAGTGGACGCTGTTGATGCATGTTTGACAAGGACCTAAGACCACCTAAAACTTCAGTGTGCTGAATTAATAGATCTGTTGTTATGCTTTTCGCCTATGTGGAACGTTGGTATCGCTTTTGTAACTTACACAACTGTTACAAGGATAACTATAAACTATAAAAAAAAGTCTAAGTTTTTACCTCTAATACACTTAGCCAATATTTTATACCACAATTATAAACATATTGCAGCTTACACTCATTCCGTCACATGCGTAAATAGAACTTCCAGTGAAGCTAAATTCCAAACGGTTTCACAGCGTATAAGCTACATAGGGTTGTCCTGAGCTAAGTTGGAATATTCTGCTATTTTATCCGAGTTCCGAGTCCAAAATGGATAGAGCTCAAGCAAAAGGCATGCAAAGTAGGGTTTCGTTGACTGACGCCTCACCAGTTCTCTTTGACTCAAAGCATGGAGCGTGGGCGTAGGAATTAAGTTAAATTCTTAGTTACATTACTCCATCCCTTTCAGTTCCAAGGTAGTTCTA